GCCGGGTCGCTTCCCCTGCCGGTGGCACCGCCATCGCCTCCGCACACAACCTGTGAAAGCAGCTACAGCTGGCTGAACACGCAGTTGGGTGGTGGATTAGATGGCCTGTAAAGGTCCTGTCCAACCCAAACTGTTCTGTGATTCGGTTTTAACTCCACTGAGGCTTTATCTGGACATAGAGCTATTTTAGCATAACCAAAAGTGGCTTTTAAATGCACCTGACATAAGGCAATGCCAACTTTTTTATTTTATTTTATTTTGGGCACTTTAGAGCTATCTCTGTAAGCCAGGCCAGGTTTAAATTGATGACACAGGCTGAAACATGCAGGCTAGTTTTATACCTAATTAGAGGTACCCAAGACTTTGCACTGGTTTGAGCATATGTTTAGATTAAATACTTTATTGGAAATGTCACATAAAGGCAGAAACAAGGAAAGGCATCCATCCGGTTACTGTACTTTCAAGGAAGAGGACATCCCTGCTGTGGGAAGCTATATGCAAACATAATTTTTAAAAGTAGCTGATGTCTCTGCTGAGATTATTTTGAAAATCTTTCACAGAACAAATTGATCTAGCCTTTAAAAGGAGGATCAAGTTGCCAATACAACAACTTAGATAGTGCTGAATTTTAGATACAGAGCAGAAACATTAGAAAAGTCATGGAACAGTCCATCTGTGTAAAATGTTTCCTATGCCAACTCAATATATTGTTCTCTTTATCACTCATGCCTAACACATTTACTGTCATATATACACACACATACTCTGCGTTTTTTTTTTTCTTAACTAAAAATACTAAAAAATCCTACAGGGGGCATACATTACACACTTTAATTTCAATTTAATCATATAATCTAGTAGTCAGGGTTATTCATATATATCAGATGCACTTAATACACTTTACTGTCTAAAACTTCCTTTATATACTTATTTGCTACTAGGCCTAAATTGGCCAAGCACTCATATCACACATAAAAATCATCCATGACCTGAGACTGTGAAGGAATCTGATGTATAAAGCCAGTATTGCTCCTCTTATAGCCACGACGGAACTTTGCTCTGCCAGTAAATGAAAAGTATTCTGCTGTAAGAATGTAAATGTGTCTTGCGTGTGTTAGTTGTGAACAGATTTCTCATCGTGTTTACTCTAATCATTTTGCCAAAACACACGCGGTTATCCTTGCAGTGCATTCGGTGGAGCGACAGATGCACACTTACTCCTCAGAATTATGGTCATTCAAGACAAAGTAAAAAACTGAAGACAATGGCAGTCATATGACAAATAGGCACAGCCCACCCAACCTCTGTCCACTAACATTAAAGCTGTGAGACTAGCAATACCAAGAATCCTGCTAGTTGGATAAGTATCTTTCAGATACTTACATTAAGGTCTTTCAAACTGTTTCCACGGCATCACAGCAACAGCCTAGCTACAGTTCAAACGGAACTTCAGCCATTAACTTATACTTTACTCTTGCACACTGCTGGTGTGGTTTTTTATGTCTGTTTGGTTTCTGCTAACAAAGCGGTTACCTCATTCATGGTTTCTTAAGTAAACTTCACTAGAAAGGAAGGCTGAACTAAAATCCTATTCCAAATGCCACTGAACTTCTGTACTTTTAAAAACTGATATTCAGAGCACAGACCACCATGACTAGAACAAAAATCTTCTATGCACAAGCTCTGGTTTCTTTTCACTGATTTTACTTTGTTATCTGTCACTTCATTCTAAAGAGAAGCAGTAACACTGAAGTGTGTTTGATATATTTTATTATAAATGGTCAATACAGAACCGAAATAATCTTTATAAATATATAGAAAAAGCACAAATGCAGGTTAAAAAAACCCCCAACATTCTCTAGCATAAGTAGAGGGCTGATGGCTTTCAGTTTTTACTTTCTATGAGTCTGTTCTTAGGGAAGAAATAATTTTTAAAAGGCTTCTTTTTTTTTTAAGTATGCTTTTTTAGTGGTTTTATTTTTAACACTGACTGTGAAAACAAAGCTCTGTTGATTCATCAAATCATCAAAGAGAAAACCAGAATGAGTGACACGTGACCTTTTTGTCCAGTAAATCTGGAATAATGCCACTGTATTGTGGTTTTAACACTAATTTAACTGAAAATGTAAACTAGTCCAAGGCATTTCAAAACTCCCACATCTTTCAGACTTTTTTGGCATGTTGCCCATCCACCTCAGAGTCAGCACAAGGACTGAGCGAGTTGTGAAGACTTCATTCCTGTCCACACTGGAGAGTTGCTCTCCCCACAGTCCAGGTCAAAGTGCACTACAGTCTTGCTTCTATTATAACTGTTCAGATGATTTTGTACTTTGCTAACTCCCCACTGTCCTGTAATTCTAAATCATGCAAACACACAGAACAGCCCCAGCTGTTGCTGTTCTTCATGATAAATAAATTAATCCAGGACTGTCAGTACTGGCTTTAGCAAGCCTCTAAGCAAATAACTTTAGACTTGACCATTATAGACAAATGCTGTTGCAGCTAAGTTCTCTTTCTGCTTTAAGAGAACAGAACAATGCCTGTTTGATGTGTGTGTGTTTATGCATGCTCATATGCTGGAGTGGAGGGCTAGGGCTGGAGGAGAGGCAATATTGCCCTAGTGTTTGAGTACTCTATGTTATCTGCTAAACAGAATTTTCCTTATCCATCTGCTATTTCTTTTGTGCTATGCTCAATAGAGAAGTGGAATTGAAGGTGCTATCTTCTGGAGTTTTACTTGCATTTTAAGAAGGAACACCTTCATAGCAGTTACCTGTCACTGCATAAAACTGTGTTCCCAGCCTAACAGAGATAGGAGCAGCAAATTAGCTTCCTGTGATCTTTAAACACAAGAATATTAAAAATCCAACCTACTACTAGCACCAAAATGACAGTATGTGCCTTTCCCTATGGTTTTTTTTTTATTTTTCAAACATACTTCTGTATTACTGACATGCTAATGTGATCAACGCTTTGGGGCACTGCTCAGCAACACTTTAGTCAGCTAGCCACGCAGTTGAAGTAAGCAAAGGGACAGTAAAAAGCAAGAAATAACGCTGTGTTCCATTTGCAAAATGTCACTTTCCATTAGCATGCTGTACTTGACCCTTCTGGCTGGAGAGGTGTTGATGGTTTTATTCAAAGTGTCGTAGATGATTGTATAGAGACTGAACATAGGTGAAGACACACATGGGATCTGGCTTGAGACCCATCACCATCATATCATCCACTTCTATCAGACGATCACAGTGAGCCATTTTCCTGTAGTAACAGTAAAACAGATAGATTTAACTCTTGTTTTGCTTTAAGGCCTGTAACTACTACCAAGATTAATTTGCTGCTCTGATTTGAACATTACTGAGGCATTTAAGAAATCCTGAGGTTTATCAGCAACATTTAATTTCACAATGAAATGGTCAGGCTCATGTTAGAGATTGTTAATTTTTGTGACCATGGAACATTCTTGTTCTTTCCCTCTTTTCCTCTATACTGAGATCTGATCCAAAGCCCTGTAGGTTTGGTTGGGGTTTTTTTTGTTTGTTTGTCTGTTTTTTTTCCAGACTGCCATTCACATCCCTCATATCTGTAGCATGTAGCCCAATGTCACTTTCCTCTGCCCGAGTCTCAGTAAGCAGGGTCGTGCATCATTGAGTTTTTTTGATTATACAGAAAGTGCCAAAAGAATGGGAAAACATAAGAAGGGGCGAGATGTGCCAATGAAGGCCCATGTGGCTGTGGACTGTCTGTTCTCCACCACACCTGTATCTTCATGGTGTGAATGACTTGTACAACAATCGCAGATGATCAGGTTGGAGAGCCAGAAGCTTGACTGAGATCTGGACCAGCAGAAAGGAACAGATCTGCTGAGGCCTAGGATGAAAAAATCACAAGGGCAGGAAGCAATCTGATCAGCAGAGCTCGTGCTGGGGTGAACAGCAGTAACTGAGAGAAAAGACTTTTCTGGCAGTAGAAGAGAACAGTTTGTTTAAAGGCAATCACAGCTATGAAATAGTAATTTTTGTAGATACATATTACCTCATGTGCCTTACTGTTGCGTGCACGTTGTTTTCTGTCTCCCCTGTACTTACTGTTACACATTAACTGAGACAGAAAAACACTGAAACTTTCCTTTGAGAGTTGTAGATCTTTTTACTTTAGAGATCAACCACCTAAAAGTGTCACAGAATCTCTTTCAACTCACTGACAAGCAACAGATTTTTTAATATATACATACACAGGTGCATCTATAAAAACCTTGTAATTCCCAAGTCAATTCCTTTGCTAGGGGCTGTAATAAGGAGATCCAACATTATGCTAAGAATCTTCAATGCTCTTCTCTAAAATGGCAAATCCATGTCTGTAAGCTATTGCTTTAATTAAAAAAAACAACAAAAAACAAACACCAAAACAAACAAACACCAAACAAAAAAGCAGCACACTCTGAAAGAACCCCAGAGCTTCAGTGTGGTGGTATCGACATTTGAAACTGTATCAGAAGCTGCAGGAAGCTTTAGCCATGTATTCTCACATCCTGTTAGTGTTCGGAAAGAGCGTACCAAATCCACATAAAGTGTTCTTAACTCTTACACAACTCCAACAAATCAGCAGTAAGAATCATGTTGATACTGGGTTAAAAAAGTTACTATTTCAGGCTGACAAGTTTACACTCATGCTGACTTAAACAAGTTCTTATTTAATTGCCTGGTATACTGCATCGAAAAGGATCAGGACAGTGTGATTGAGGACATTAGCTCTGTCTGTTTTACAAAAATGCAATTACCAGGTTGAGACATAGAGAAGCTCTCAGCCTTGACCTAACTCTACTTACACCGAATTCAACCTTCATTCTTGTTCAACCAAAGCAACATACAGACAGACATAAACCCTCTCACAAAACCCAATTCCAAAAGTTAATCTACTTGCCCCCTGCTGTTCAGGGGTCATATTTTTCCCAGAGGCTGGATGGATGTATTAACATGCTTCAAATTCAAATCAGGTATCAAGTAGGTTAGATGGGATAAGAAACTACAAGTTGTATGTCCAGTTGCTATGGACTGTCAGTAAACATTGGATGCCTTGTGCTCTATGAACTCAAATTTTGTGAAACTATCACAATCAATCATAAAAACAAAATCTGAGTTCATAGAGCATAACTCGTGGCTGATTTCTTTAGCGTGTCAGTGCTAAGGCTGGTAAGAATCACAGAGGTGAGAAAGGAGAATTCAAGTACTGCCTGAAGAAAGACCTGAACATAGGACTCCACTGAATTATCCCCCGTGCCTGGTAAAACCACCTCTGATTTTAGACGGCCAAGTCTCCTGTTCTCTGCATTGTCTATGCAGAGCTTTATTTAATCTTTTTTGGCATGACAGGTAAGCTAGTGATATACGATCTACAAGCAGAATGATGAAACTCTTCACTACTGCCCAGCCACATTACACATGAACTGGAAGCACTTCACAGAGATCTAATGTGATACTCACTCAGCCATGGTGAAGGCCAGCTCAAAGTTCTGCTTGCGATTAGTTGGGTCAAGCTTATTATAATCAAAAGCTTCAGGAAAGAAAGAATGCACAAGAGCACAGAATGCCATCCCATCATTCCAGCTTGAGGAGAAGTTCTGGAGATCAATGTGCTGTCATGATGAAAAAACCACGCATGTTAATGCAGCACAGGGGAACAGGGAAGAGCAGCTGCTTTTAGCTACACTAATGTTACCTCATAGAAATTAGCCCACTAACACCATGTGATTCAACTTCAACCATATACCACAAATTCACTTGACGAATACCAGCAGAGAGTACTTTGGTCTGCTGTGTAGCAAAAGGACTATAGTCTCCATGTACTGGCAAAATGTTATTCAGATCTTGCCATATATAATGAGAATGCAAAAATCACAGCCTGCAACTAAGACAAAAAAAGGGTGAGTGTATACTCAAGTCTATATCCATAAGCAGAAAAATGTAGGCTTTCAGAAAAACACTAATGCATTGCTTTGACAGACATACAGAATCTCACTCATGCAATCACTGACTGTCTTGAAGTGCTGCCCACGCAAACCATGATGTTTGCATTATCTGCACAAAATGGTGAACTTGCATAAGTTAAGTCATTGTCTAGCATGTTTTACATTCACTTTTTGAGTATGCTTTTTTGGCAAATTCTCCTGAAAAAGAGCTGAAAGTGCTAGCATGTCTTCACCTTGTATCCTATGGTTTTTGAGCGACACCAGTCTAGCAGAATTTGTTTAATGCTGCTAGCACTGGCAACCCCAAAACTCTGCGACCTCTTCAGCTTAGCTCTGGATTCTCCTTTTCCTCTGGAAAATTAACAGAGATAAGATTAAATTACATTCTAGAAAAACTTAAACCTACTTGTCAGCAACATCTATGCAACCTTGCTCAGGACAACTCCTGTCCAGGTGATATCTGAGAAACACATTGCTGAAACTTCAACTTGTTTGTCCTGCAAGAAAAACTAATTTTCATGTCACTAAGGCCAGGATTCCAAGCCCCGTTCTATTTAAATCATACCCCTGTCATGGTGCTTAAAGAACAGTCCACGCTTTTGGTCCTTAATGAATGGCAACAGAAAGTTGCCAGTCTCTTATAAGGATAGACAAGGCAGCTTTCACAGCACGCTTTCCTGATAAAAGGCACCTGCTTCTTCAGCTGAAGAACTCCAAAGCCAGAGGAACCTGTAGCCGTGAATTTCCAGGGCTGCGACTGTGAAGTTAGTGAAGCTATATGTGATGTCATATTGTCCCTTAGCTCAAAATCCTACATTGAGAGTCCTCCCACCCAGCTATTCTCTGCTGGTAATAATTGATAAATTAGTTTCCCATTAAAAAACCCATTCTGGAGACAAGGGGCGTGACGTACTTTCCACCATCATGTTCAAATTTCTCGAAAAGTGCTTTCCTGGCCTGTGCTCCTGTAGTCCGTGGGAGCGTCTGAGACCGCACCAGTTCTCGCCTCCTTTCAACTCGGCGATGTACAGTGGGAGGAGAGGAGTAAGAGCTGGGGGTCACATCACAGTAACTGTCAGTGGCACTACAGAAACAACATGAAAAGTATGTGGTTAAACAAAAACACAACTCTCTGCAGTACCAGGAGTCAGCATAGAGGTCCAGCTGTTACCTCCCAAAAAAGCCTCCAAGAGGACCTGAATGAGTCAAAAGCAATTTAAGTAAAAGTCAAAGTTTTACTGACAGACAACAGCAGTTACATCTAGAAGACTCTGTTACTTTTACAAATGAGACATTGCTGGATAAGTCACAAATGCTTTAAAGCACTGAGTAGAACAACAATTAAACACCTTTAAGAAAAAAGAACAGCAAAAAAAAAAAAAAAGTTGTGAGGAGCACTAAATCCCTTTAGTTTTCAGCTTTGAGGTTCCAGGAGGGTAAACTACATTTTAAAAATAGAACTTAAACAGTAATTCAGGAAGTACTTTTGAAATTTTTACTTATAGTACACAGAATTCTGAGCTTGTGTCAGTGTTGCTTCACTGACTGCAAGCTGGTAATTTGTTCAGGAAATATAGGATTATAGTGTAATTCGTTTCTATTTGAGCCATAGACCACTTCATCAGCATTAATGAAGTAAGCCACACATCATTTGGAAATGCTTCCCATGACAGAGGTGGCGGAACGGAGGCAAAGAGCAATGACATCAGTGTCATACATTAATTTCTGGTACAGATGGAGGTCAGATCTGACAGCAAGTTCTCTAGGGTGCTCAGTGTATCATGATTCAAATATTGAAGTGCTATGTTGGAACTAACTCAGAAGAAATGTAATGCCAAATACGGGGTAATTTTCAAGACAGATGCAAGCCCAATTTGAGAGATTTAAATTGGCTGCCTTCCCATTTTTCTGATGGATATTTTGCATGCTGAGGATGCCTAGATATGCCAGTAGTAATTGTGATACCATGTAATCCTATACTAAGCAACTGCAACTTCAAGTTAATCAAGAACGTGTAGTAGTCCTCAGCGAGGCATTTATGTACAAACTAAACTCCAGGCTAGCCAAACTAAGGATGTTTGACAGCAGTGATACTTTGGTTTCCAAAAATGAGCTCAAATACAAATTTCAGAGCTGAGTATTTTTAAAAGTGTTTTCAAAGGGTCTGACAACTTTCCCCTCCTAACAAAAATCCACCGCTGGCAAGTAAAACTGACAGTTTTGACTGCAACAACTGATGTTGACTACAACAATGCTGAAATCCACAATTAGGTCTGCTTTTAAACTGTTCTACAAAGATTTTTACGCCTTCCCATCTCTGTTCCACTTATCCCTCAGGAAAGCTCACAACAGGCTTAAAATACAGCACCTGGGACTCAGCTGTTCTCCAAGCCAGCAGAACACCTGTCCCTTGAGACTATACTGACCACAGTGGCCTAACAAAAAGTCAAGAAAAGTGCGTACCTTTCACCAGTTTTGGTTCCACTACTTGTCCCATAGCTCACAGTTGAGACAGACTTAGTGACAGAAGTTGTATTCTCTGTATAAGAGCAGGAAAAAAAAGATGCATCAGGGCAGAAACTTCTTTTATCCCCTCTCCTCATACATTTTCAAACAATTTCCTGATAAGACAGCCACGTATTGATTTTTACTCACCATAGTGAAAAGCTGCAGGCTTCTGTCTAACTTTCAGTATGACCTAACAAGCCGAGGAGGGATTTTCCCCAAGGGTACAATCCCTCTGCAAAATTGTTGCACTGCAGCGAGGATGGGGTAAACATATCAGAAAGGGCTGCGAGAGGATGCCTTTGATAAAACTGCATGGAAGGCTGGATCACTTCAGGCCCTTGTGCAGACCTCAGAGGAGGGCGCACTGCCATGGACATTTCAGTGAAAGGAAGAAATGGTGCTACAGCTCAGCTTGCAACAGTCATTCTGGCAGACATAAGGAGCCATAAACTTCCTGGGAAGTCTGCCATTATTAAGAGCATAGTTTAAATTACCTAATTTCCACCAGGAAATGTTTTAGTTTGCAAAGCAGAACGGACTCCAAAGGTTGCAAAGTTGGCTTAAAACCAACTCTGCATCTTCCTTCCCTGACCCCTGAGGTTCTCCCTTTTGTGCTTTGCCTCTTAAGAGCCCAGATCTGGACTTCAGCTCTGCTCTGTAAACGCAGAACAATGGAGTGGCTTGCCCAGTTTTAACACACTAAAGCCAGAACTTGTTGTGTAAGCCAGCCACTCATTTACTGAAGGCTCCTTTGATACACAAAGAAGAAAGACTGGCATCTTAGAAGCAATCCAACCTGATCACTGTCCAAATTACTCTCTGAAAATGCTGAACTCTCTCCACTGCTTATAGAAGGGATCTAGATCAACTAGACTTCTCACGTAAAACATCCTGGGGTAAATGCCAGCATACAGATGTGACAAATTTGTGACCTCAAACAATTGACAGATATTTCTATAAATCTCAGAGGTTTTAAGCTGAGGAGGAGTGTGATCTCTATTCTGGATGAGCTACACCTTTGCTAAACTGACACTTGAGACCATTGTGAAATGCCAGTACATCGTGTAGACAGTAACAGCTTGGTGACATCAATCAGAAGTACTTTTGGATAAAGCTCAACTCATCTATTTCGACTGAAATTGAAAATTCTTAAGTTATTTTGTCCTTTGACTTATTCATATATGAAGACTACTTACTGCTATTCTGTTCAAAGGAATTTGCTTCAACATCCATAGGGGGAACTCACCACTTTCCAGCTGCCATCATCTTGCCTTCAGTCACAGTTTTCACTTGATTAACTGAAATCTTCACCTCTCGAACTGTCTGTTCTACCACACTTTTCTGGCACCTGTTGTTTCCACTGCAGTGACTGCCTAACAGTACACATGTACACCACTGTCCAAATAAGGACAAGTACCCCTTGCTTTGAACCGACTGAGAATTGCATGCAGTGGAGCAAGTTTCTGTGATTTGGATCTGCATGCAGTCTCATTAGCAATTTTAATATTATCATGTACCTATTAATTGGAACTACGTGCTCGTATCTGAATTCCCCAGGCATGGAGCACGGAATCCCTCTCAATTTGTGTTGCATAAAGACACACTGATAGGAACACTCACCTCCAGTGGCACATGAACCCATTGTTCTCACTGTACTTGAATTCCAGGCCTTCACTGAAACAGTAGGAAAAAAAAAGACAAAAGAAGGCTTTGCTACATTCTTAGCTTTAATAAGATAAAAGTTGAAAGATAATCAGCAAATAATCTCTATCTCTTGCTAGCAATTCCATCTGGTCTCTCTCTGTAATTTCTGACCTATATATATACAGTCTGATCTGTAAATGTCACTATCCCTAAATGTATATGAAATACAGCTCAAAGATTAACGACTTCAATATGAATGAAATGAGCTTTTATTTTTTTTTTAAACTCAATTTAGATGTAAGATTCTGAAATCACACTGACTTGTGTATATGTGCCAGTCTGCTGTCAAGTCATTCCTCACTCCAAATGACTGTTGAACCCATTAACCAATTATCTGCCTAACTTCTCAAGGGGTCTCAGGTCTCAAAGCACTAAAAACTCCTGCAAATTTCACTAAAATAGCTGGCCGTGTTGAAGAGATACTTACTCAGAAACTCTGCTAGAAGATAGGCTGAACTATGAACTCAACTATATTGGGCAGCAAAATTCTCAGATTTGACATTATAGCCTAAAGCTCTACCTAGGACCCAGGACCCACAATATTCTAAATCAGAGTGTCCTGCCATAGGATATGTAGCCATAGAAGGGAGGTTTCATAATTAGCACTAGGTTACAGGACAGTCCCCGTAGCACCAGTTTCTCGAAGTAAAGAAATGGGACACAGCTTCAGCAAACAAATTATTTTTGTCTCTTTTACCTGACTGATCAGAAGTTTTCACTGTCATTGCATTTTTGCTCTTGCTCTGTCCCAGCAAGCCAGCAGACGCATTAGTTGTTCCTGTTGAACAGATGGTCTCTCCTGAAAACTTCTCTGATATCCTGGTTACTGCAGTAACGGGAAGGTGGGGCATCTGTAAGGTGACTGCAGGGGCATGGGCTTCAGGGGAAGAGTCTGATGTGTGAAAAGAGGTCAGTTCATGGGAGACTTTTACTTGACCTAGTGAACAAAAAGAAAAGGAGAGAGGAAGTAAATTTATTTGCAGATTTGTAACGAAGTTACAAACCACTTTCCATGCAACAACTTTATTTTACAAGTCACTGGAATTATTCCACCTAGTTCTGCCTGTAGGACACTATATCATTTAGCACGCTGCAGAAACAACCCTAGTGTAAGTGATCCTTGCAGCGATCATAGCTGTCCTACATGAATCTCAGCAAGAACAACTTCTTCAGATCATTAATCCACTAGCATCTGTATTTGGTAAGCTCCTCCTCTTCTATGTGCAGCCCCCACCCCCAATCTCCTGCTGTCAGCTAGGAGTCGGCATTTTTGTTCTTTTCATGGTTTTTATGAAATGCTGTCTGCCTCAGTTTTCTCTAAAATGGAGATAGTAAGTTCTTCCTCCACTGAAGGATGATGGAAGCGGACAAGTAATCTGCAAAATGTTTTGGGATGCAAGGCTACAATGGCACCCAGAATAGCAGGCCTTATTATTACTAGTTACCTAAGATAATGTGACAGTAATAGTCTCTAATTTATGAAACACCGTGGTGCATGCTTAACAATAAAGTTTAAAAGTTGAACTCCTAATTAGGAAATAAAGTTAAATGTTATCAGTGCCACAGATTCTAATGCTTCCAACATGTGAAAGCTGCTCTATGGCTACCAGGATCAGGTATTTTACAAGCAGCACTACTTCATTTCATGCCCTGTTCCTACCTGATGAAGACTGATGCCCATTTTCAACCACAGAAGAACTAAAAACTCTTCTAAACTCAGGTTTGTGGTGGTCATCCAGGTCTACACTCTGTCAGAACAGACAACAGACACAACAGCCAAATTTCAGCAAAAGTTAGAATATCCAGAAACACCTACCAGAAACAGATCTCCTTTGTGCTAGTGACCACAATGCAAGAAGGGAATAATTATCTGACCCCAAGAGACAAACCTGCAAACTGAGCACTGGCAACGCAGGACACGTATCAATCTTTACATACTTGTCCTCAGAAACCCCATGCATCTAGTAGGGGTGTTGCACTTTTGTTAGATAATGTTATCCCCATCCGCTGTGAAGGTGATAAACACATGACTCTGCACAATAGTGGAGAGAATTACTGAGATTGCATAAAACACTTAATGCTCTACAGTTTTTTTCCTCTTTGCTGAAGAAAAAAAAAATCACATTCTGATAACGTACTGTAAAAGCATTACATAAAGTAAGTGTGATCCTAGAACATTACAGCTGCACTATAATCTGCAACTTCTATAAGGACAGTTTTTTCTGGGAAAAGCACAATTTTTCCCATACTTTTTGTCAATATTATTGCAGAAAAATCAGCCAAAAATATTTTTTTGTGGATTTTTTTTTTGTTGGTTCATGTGTATGTGTGTAGGCATACAAAAAATCATGACGAACTATGTGATTTTTGGTTGCAGGAACTAAAGTAAGAAGAAACTGCCTCACAGACATGTGATTACTTCAGTTAAAAAAAAATGAGTGTCCAAGAAGCAGGATATACAAGCAGTAGAGTGAAATTCCTCAACTAAAGTCCATGAAAAAATTTTAACTTATTATAGACAGATAGGTAACTACCAGATTGGCCCAAAATATTATGAATAAATAAAGAAAAAATCTGTAATGTGCCCTTATAACATAATCCTTAAACAAAATGCTTATAAACTCAATCCAAACTAGTTTTGCTTTGTTTTTTTTAAAGACAGACAGAAAGACTGAAGATAGATACTGAAGAAGATTTTTATACTTCAGGTAAGTATAAAACCAACAGAATATAATAGAAAAGGAAAGAGGCAGAGTGTATACGTGTAATAACTTTGTCTCTACTTTTCGTACACAGGAAATACAGAGCAAACTTGTAGTTTGATTTTACTTATTTATTCCATAGCTTCATCACAAATTATTAGAATAATTTACTTGTAGTGGAAAAATATATCCCATGTAAAATACAGAAACCATATGATCAATTCAAGATAAATCATCAAAAATAGCTTCTTAGAATTTGTTGTTTACCACACATCTGTTTACACTCATCCAAACCTAATTAAGAATACCAGACAACTATGTTAATGCCCCCTGGAGATTTTTTAATCTTGTTAGATACTGCAGAGTGCACAAACATCCATTACTTGAGATTCCAGAACTTTCATTACCTCAAGTACAAATCCCAGTCAACTCCTGGTAACTATGATCTGAGATCTTGATAATGATTTGTTAACTAGTATTAGATTACAACGAGGTAGCCTAAACACACTTTTGTCATAGAGTATACAGTTATCATCTTAGATTCTGATTCTCCTAGATATTTAAGTGTCAATCTCCAACTGATTTCAATGGAACAGAGGTGTACGTAGCAGCATTTGAGCTACACACCTACACTACTACAGTCGAGGAAAATCCCTCTCTTGACTTTAAGGTTGGGCCCTACATTCTCAGATCATAATCGGTATCCAGCCTTTTCAAGACTACAGCATAATTTGGAGAAATCATGGAAGTGTGGTAAAATCCCCTTAACCTGACTTCAAGATGAGGACCTACTACCTTGTAAGCAAGTGTCTTACAAAGACACATTACAATAAAACACAGAAAGGAATGGCAGGAAGACACTGAGATACTGTGAACTGTCTTTAAGGCTCAGCTTGGATGGTGTATTTTACTATATTGGGTTGTTTACTGTTTTTTAACCTAGGGTCAGATTCCTGTGTCAATTTTTTCTGTGCTAAGTGAGGAAAAGAGATAGGATTATATGATTTTCAAACAAAACAATACAAAGATCAGAAGAGGACTGGAGACTTCCTGAAAACGTGGAAGAAAATATGACTTTTGAAGGTTTTTCAGCCAGGAGCTTTCATTTAATTTTCTTGCCTGGTTTCTAAGTCAATGATCTTCCTGGGGTTATATATGCACTTACGTGCTCTGCTAGATAAAAGCACAGAGGTTACATGATGAGCCAAGATATTCCTTAATCTGTTTATCACAGAATGTTGGGGATTGGAAGGGACCTGGAAAGATCATCCAGTCCAACCCCCTGCCAGAGCAGGAACCTAAATGAGATCACACAGAAAGGTGTCCAGGCGGGTTCTGAATGTCTCCAGAGAAGGAGACTCCACAACTCATGCAACAAATGCATGAGAAGTTGCTTTTTTAAAAAAACAACCAAACAAAAACCCCCACAAAAAAAACCCCAAAAGACAACATCAAGAACTACTTAAACATACAACCATGCACAACACCATGTTTTAGCACAATACTGCTTATAGCCCCATTAACAAGGCTGATAGGTTTCCCCTGATGCCCAATGAAGGCTTCAGGTGCACCTAAGACAGCTGGGAGTTAGAATGTCCATTCCACAACTCGGTTAGCCTGCCTTAAGGCATGCTGCAAGTTCTACAAATCAAATCCATCATGAAGTTCAGTATATCAATCTGAACAAGGAGAACTTTTGCTTCTTTTAAATTTTCTTCTATCTTTCTTATTTGAAAAGAAAGGAAAATAAACTAGATTAGGTAAATTGGAATGTTCAGAACTTCTCACTCTTTTCCAGCATCTAAAACTTTCTTACAAGCAAAACCACTCCAGTTCAGCTATCTAGGCTCCACTGATTTTTGTGGGATCTCTCCCATTTTGAGGATTCATTACAGACAGGTTTTCAGAAGAGCTCACATCCAACAAAGCTGCACTCTCTAGATAGTTACTCAGCTTAGGCCCAAAAGGAGCGATGAGTTCTTTTGCAAAGCTAGTCTGCATACTTTTTTCACAATACATCACCAGAACAACTTCTTAAACATAAAATTTGTTATGTATTTGTCTCCTGATAATAAAAAAGATTTATAATTTTTATACCATCTGCTATCCCCACAGAGAATAATTCCATACATACATAGTCTGACTTACTGCCGCTAAATTGGATCTGTGTCATTGTATCCAGATCTTTTAATTTGTTAAAATAAAATTATTTTGCAACTTTTGTATTTGTCAAGAAGTAGGTACAATGCATGAATAAATCCAGTTATCACTAGCTGCCAGGATTAACTTGAGAAAAGTACACCAGATATTATTATATAAACCACACAGAATCAGGGGTTCAGAACTTCTATTGCTGTATTCAGTGTAACTGAGATCCTAGTAAACAATTACTGTCCATATCCAGAACTGAAATAAAAAACACAGCTAGCACAGCTCCCTAGAATGTAGCTATTAGAACTGTTTAGCCATTGGTGTTGGCCATTATGATGTGAATGTGTCAAATGCCTGCGTAGACCGTAAACATGAATCTACTTTATAAGCTGTGGGGGCAGGGCCGAGCAAAACAGTCAAATGAAGTGGTCATTTCAACTGGCTTCCTAATGCAGTGACATTAATTGCATTAATTTATTTTATGCAAACTTGATTACCACATTTTGGCTAACAGTGCTGGGGAAGAAACTGACAGCAGGCTGGAGGATGGGAAAAAGCAATGTGCTGATAAAACACTGAGAAGGTCTGGGATCAGATTCTACTGTGCATTTAGAAGTGTCAGGTTTAAGTACTTTAAAATCCAGTTTGTGTGGAGATGCCAAGCTTCTGACAAATTCAAGTGTGTAACAATACTTCCTCTGTCAATGCTGGCTACATGGATTATAAATAGCAGAGGGACAGGTACCTGTATCTATGCTTAATAACGAGAAGTACTCATTTGTACAACTCATGTAACAACAAGGTGATGAGGAACTGGTGAAGCTGAAGAAAATAAAGTTACCGCTAATGTGCTGCGTACCTTACTCAGGCTTGCTCTTAGAACTAATCTCTCTGTAGCTCAGAAGTCTCCATGTAATGTAGGGTGATAATACTTTCCACAGTTGTAGGGCTGCTGGAATTCCTCCAGGAATTTAGACCTTGGAGTTCCATAACTGGAAGCTCCTATAAAACAGGCAAATATCATAACCCAGTAGTGAAAATCCCATGCATTCAGAAAAATTAAGCACCAGATCATGAGATTAGAAAGAAAATAAATATTTTTTTTGTTTCCTCTCTGAACCTCTAAGGTGCACATCAGTTACATCTTGAAGCTTTTCCCTGCAAGAAGGTCAAACTGTAGAAGAATGACAAACAAATGAGATTCCTCTCTCTCAAATGAGAGACTTCAGTCATCCAAAGTCGTTTATAAAAGCACCAATTATCAAAAAGGTAATGATAAAAATCACTGGATCTACAAATGCTGTTTATCTCCGAGAGGTACCTCCTCTCTCATTACACATACCAGAATAAATCGGTGCCTCACTGTGGCAAACAGCAAAACCACCACTGACTTCCACAAGGCAAGATCTGACACTCTGTTCCTTGCATATAGAGATCATTGATACATCAGAAATGGGGAATGATGAAATGTGTGAAGAAATGCAAATGAAGCTGCTAGAATGCCAACAAGGACTACACCACATTTACCCCTTAATTCTTCTACCAGAAAGCCACTGTCTATTGGATAACACAAGTATTCTCTACCTGTAACTGATGCCACAGCTTGAAGAAAAAGCCTTGAATGCCATAAGCATTTTAGGAAAGCTTTTGCACATGGAGTAATCACTGAAGAAAAACAGTAGAAGCACTTTTCACAGAACCTTTTTTGAAGCAAGGCTGGATAAAAATGGACAGCAGGGAACAATTCTACCTTGGCAGCCTCAGCAGGTTCCCAGAGCTATGTCACTGTGAATTAAAACAAACAGAACCAAACACCAGCAACAAAAATAATCTAGATAAAGATCAATGCAACCTTGGAATGACAACATTCCAAAAGGACACTTGCAAGAAGTGTAAGAGAAAAATACAAAGGAAATGGAACTACTTCCTTTATCAAAGGACTTCCTTTATCAAATATAAGAGTTGAGATGGTTTAGAACCATAGTATGTAATTCCAGGTGACTGCTGGATCACTTAAGTCTCCCTCCCTGTATACCCCAGGTCCTTATGTCTCATGCAGTTACTCCCATGCTAACTGTTGTGTGCCATCCAGTCACCACAGAGATACC